GTGTGTGTGTGTGTGTGTGTGTGTGTGTGTGTGTGTGTGTGTGTGTGTGTGTGTGTCACTGGGGTTAAAGCACACCAGTATGCGCATACTTCAGCATGCTGCACAGGATCATTCGGGATCGACGTCGACATCAGGCTGCAGATTCGAGGTTACTGGACTCCACTTGCCTATGCATAGCAGATGTGCACAATGTGCAGTGCTGTGTGGGGCTGTGACTTTACAGATGGCCAGGTGGCACCGCAACATGGCTTCCCGATTTCAAATTGGAGCAGACAGATTGCACAGGTCCTGGAGATCTCCAGCACTCTAGAGTGGCCCACGAGGGACTTACCGTCAGAGGAACGTTCTTTTTTTCCTTTTCCTCCAGGTTTGGGGTCAGCAACGGCCTGCTCTCGGGCCCTGCCTTCGGGGGGGCCGTCCCTGACGCCCACTTCACCCCGTGGTAATTTGGACCTCTGAACTTATCTGTATTCATCATGCCTCAAAATAAAAAAGTCTACACACGTCCAAAAGGCCATGCGATTACCTGACCACCAAACCAACTCATAGGCAATGCTTGCTCCGCCGTTTTGATTTTAAAGATTGTGTTAAGAAACTAGACTAGAATGGTAACATAAAAAATGGAAATTGAGGGAGCAAGGAAACCCGAAGACCGCTAGGGTATGAGGGGCCGGCCATTAAGGGAAGGTTCAATGAAGAAGGGAAGAGCAGAGAAGGGACAAGGGAGGGGAAGGAAAGGGTCAAAGGAAGGGAAGAGACATGGGGAGGGTCAAGGGAAGGGTCAAGGGAAGGGTCAAGGGGAGGGACAAGGGAAGGGTCAAGGGAAGGGAAGGAAAGGGTCAAAGGAAGGGAAGGGACACGGGAAGGTCAATGGTGGGGAGGGTCAAGGGAAGGGAGGCTCAAGGGAAGGGAAGGGTCAAGGGAAGGGAGGGATTTGAGGGATGGGAAAGGTCAAGGTAAGGGAAGGTAAAGTTTAAGGAAAAGGTCGAGGGAAGGGAAGGGAAGGGTCAAGGGAAGGGAGGGG